GTTAAGTAATCCTACAGCAAGGTAGAGTAAAGTAATCCTACATCAAGGTAGATTATAGTAATTCTACATCAATGTAGATTATAGTAATCCTACATCAAGGTAGAGTTTAGTAATCCTACATCAAGGTAGATTACATCAAGGTAGATTATAGTAATCCTACAGCAAGGTAGAGAAAAGTAATCCTACATCAAGGTAGATTATAGGAATCCTACATCAAGGTAGAGTTACGTAATCCTACATCAAGGTAGAGTTTAGTAATCCTACATCAAGGTAGAGGTAAGTAATACTACATCAAGGTAGAGTTAAGTAAGCCTAAATCAAGGTAGAATTAAGTAATCCTACATCAAGGTAAGAGTTAAGTAATCCTACATCAAGGTAGAGTTAAGTAATCCTAAATCAAGGTAGAATTAAGTAATCCTACATCAAGGTAGAGTTAAGAAATCCTACATCAAGGTAGAGTTAAGTAATCCTACATCAAGGTAGATTATAGTAATCCTACATCAAGGTAGAGTTAAGTAATCCTACATCAAGGNTAACCTACATCAAGGTAGAGTTTAGTAATCCTACATCAAGGTAGATTATAGTAATCCTACATCAAGGTAGAGTTAAGTAATCCTCCATCAAGGTAGATTTTAGTAATCCTACATCAAGGTAGATTATAATGTAAATTTAAAAAGATCGTACGTAAAGCTACAATGGAAGTTTAACAAGGTAATTCTAAGTCATTGCTGGTTTGCCCACAGCAAACAACATATATTGGTTTAAATAGGCGTATATATTTAAAAATGCACCGACAAAGAAGAATAAAATTATCCTACATCAAGACAGTTGATAGTGATCCAACATCAAGGAGGTCAAAAACACCCTTAAGGTCAGTTAGCTTGGTTAATTATCACCTTCATCACACACAGTTATAGCGGAGAAATCAGTAATCAAATAAGTTGAAAGAACTCGCAAGCAAGTGAAGCACTTTTATGTATGTTGTCAGATGAGCTATGACAGCGGCATCGAGAGACGGTCCTGTTACATCTTTATCGCTTGCTTGCACACAATGGCTTTCATCAGCACGTTTCTGTGGCTCCCTAAGACATACATCGATCTTCCCGAGACAACCGACGAAACAATAGTCGTGCATCCTGACGAAGAGGAGGAGAAAATGAACGATAAGGACGGAAATGGGCAACCAATAGGTTTAGAACAAAGAAAATGCGGCAATGCAACGAAAAGCCTAAATAACTGTTTATCGACAGAGCAAGGTATTTTGCCGCAGTTTAACGTTTGCCTTTTTCGCCCTTCACTGAAACAGGGAATTTATCACGACACTGAATATTAGTGTACAACATTCAATATAGAGTAATTACACGTGGATGGCGAAATTTACACTTAGCAGACATGTATTTATCCGTAAAGGGCGAATTTGGCCGGGCGAGAGTTTTTTTGGTATACATTACATTATCTATGTACTAAATGTGAGGGACAGACATAAAAGACTAATATTTATTTTGATTTTGATCTTTCAAATAACAAAAATGACATTAAAATCATTGCCCATCTTTGTGAACAGGTGATGCTTCCATTCTTCTGAGTGAACAGCCAGTTGTAACGAAAGATGCCGATCTGAGTCTGCGGGGTCACTTGTGCTCCAATATCTTCCTCATGCACGTGTTCTGGTACAGCATTCTCCAACTGAGATTCTTCTACTTCGTGGGTACACTGAATCCATGGCTAGAGAGGGTCAGCCAGTCGGAGGAGGAAGGTACGTCTCTGTTAAATCATGGTCACACTGATTCCCGGGATAGGAAGGTCGCTAAAAAATCATGGTCACACAGAATCCCGGGATAGGAAGGTCGCTAAAAAATCATAGTCACACTGATTCCCGGGATAGGAAGGTCGCTAAAAAATCATGGTCACACTGATTCCCGGGATAGGAAGGTCGCTAAAAAATCATGGTCACACTGATTCCCGGGATAGGAAGGTCGCTAAAAAATCATGGTCACACTGATTCCCGGGATAGGAAGGTCGCTAAAAAATCATGGTCACACTGATTCCCGGGATAGGAAGGTCGCTAAAAAATCATGGTCACACTGATTCCCGGGATAGGAAGGTCGCTAAAAAATCATGGTCACACTGATTCCCGGGATAGGAAGGTCGCTAAAAAATCATGGTCACACTGATTCCCGGGATAGGAAGGTCGCTAAAAAATCATGGTCACACTGATTCCCGGGATAGGAAGGTCGCTAAAAAATCATGGTCACACTGATTCCCGGGATAGGAAGGTCGCTAAAAAATCATGGTCACACTGATTCCCGGGATAGGAAGGTCGCTAAAAAATCATGGTCACACTGATTCCCGGGATAGGAAGGTCGCTAAAAAATCATGGTCACACTGATTCCCGGGATAGGAAGGTCGCTAAAAAATCATGGTCACACTGATTCCCGGGATAGGAAGGTCGCTAAAAAATCATGGTCACACTGATTCCCGGGATAGGAAGGTCGCTAAAAAATCATGGTCACACTGATTCCCGGGATAGGAAGGTCGCTAAAAAATCATGGTCACACTGATTCCCGGGATAGGAAGGTCGCTAAAAAATCATGGTCACACTGATTCCCGGGATAGGAAGGTCGCTAAAAAATCATGGTCACACTGATTCCCGGGATAGGAAGGTCGCTAAAAAATCATGGTCACACTGATTCCCGGGATAGGAAGGTCGCTAAAAAATCATGGTCACACTGATTCCCGGGATAGGAAGGTCGCTAAAAAATCATGGTCACACTGATTCCCGGGATAGGAAGGTCGCTAAAAAATCATGGTCACACTGATTCCCGGGATAGGAAGGTCGCTAAAAAATCATGGTCACACTGATTCCCGGGATAGGAAGGTCGCTAAAAAATCATGGTCACACTGATTCCCGGGATAGGAAGGTCGCTAAAAAATCATGGTCACACTGATTCCCGGGATAGGAAGGTCGCTAAAAAATCATGGTCACACTGATTCCCGGGATAGGAAGGTCGCTAAAAAATCATGGTCACACTGATTCCCGGGATAGGAAGGTCGCTAAAAAATCATGGTCACACTGATTCCCGGGATAGGAAGGTCGCTAAAAAATCATGGTCACACTGATTCCCGGGATAGGAAGGTCGCTAAAAAATCATGGTCACACTGATTCCCGGGATAGGAAGGTCGCTAAAAAATCATGGTCACACTGATTCCCGGGATAGGAAGGTCGCTAAAAAATCATGGTCACACTGATTCCCGGGATAGGAAGGTCGCTAAAAAATCATGGTCACACTGATTCCCGGGATAGGAAGGTCGCTAAAAAATCATGGTCACACTGATTCCCGGGATAGGAAGGTCGCTAAAAAATCATGGTCACACTGATTCCCGGGATAGGAAGGTCGCTAAAAAATCATGGTCACACTGATTCCCGGGATAGGAAGGTCGCTAAAAAATCATGGTCACACTGATTCCCGGGATAGGAAGGTCGCTAAAAAATCATGGTCACACTGATTCCCGGGATAGGAAGGTCGCTAAAAAATCATGGTCACACTGATTCCCGGGATAGGAAGGTCGCTAAAAAATCATGGTCACACTGATTCCCGGGATAGGAAGGTCGCTAAAAAATCATGGTCACACTGATTCCCGGGATAGGAAGGTCGCTAAAAAATCATGGTCACACTGATTCCCGGGATAGGAAGGTCGCTAAAAAATCATGGTCACACTGATTCCCGGGATAGGAAGGTCGCTAAAAAATCATGGTCACACTGATTCCCGGGATAGGAAGGTCGCTAAAAAATCATGGTCACACTGATTCCCGGGATAGGAAGGTCGCTAAAAAATCATGGTCACACTGATTCCCGGGATAGGAAGGTCGCTAAAAAATCATGGTCACACTGATTCCCGGGATAGGAAGGTCGCTAAAAAATCATGGTCACACTGATTCCCGGGATAGGAAGGTCGCTAAAAAATCATGGTCACACTGATTCCCGGGATAGGAAGGTCGCTAAAAAATCATGGTCACACTGATTCCCGGGATAGGAAGGTCGCTAAAAAATCATGGTCACACTGATTCCCGGGATAGGAAGGTCGCTAAAAAATCATGGTCACACTGATTCCCGGGATAGGAAGGTCGCTAAAAAATCATGGTCACACTGATTCCCGGGATAGGAAGGTCGCTAAAAAATCATGGTCACACTGATTCCCGGGATAGGAAGGTCGCTAAAAAATCATGGTCACACTGATTCCCGGGATAGGAAGGTCGCTAAAAAATCATGGTCACACTGATTCCCGGGATAGGAAGGTCGCTAAAAAATCATGGTCACACTGATTCCCGGGATAGGAAGGTCGCTAAAAAATCATGGTCACACTGATTCCCGGGATAGGAAGGTCGCTAAAAAATCATGGTCACACTGATTCCCGGGATAGGAAGGTCGCTAAAAAATCATGGTCACACTGATTCCCGGGATAGGAAGGTCGCTAAAAAATCATGGTCACACTGATTCCCGGGATAGGAAGGTCGCTAAAAAATCATGGTCACACTGATTCCCGGGATAGGAAGGTCGCTAAAAAATCATGGTCACACTGATTCCCGGGATAGGAAGGTCGCTAAAAAATCATGGTCACACTGATTCCCGGGATAGGAAGGTCGCTAAAAAATCATGGTCACACTGATTCCCGGGATAGGAAGGTCGCTAAAAAATCATGGTCACACTGATTCCCGGGATAGGAAGGTCGCTAAAAAATCATGGTCACACTGATTCCCGGGATAGGAAGGTCGCTAAAAAATCATGGTCACACTGATTCCCGGGATAGGAAGGTCGCTAAAAAATCATGGTCACACTGATTCCCGGGATAGGAAGGTCGCTAAAAAATCATGGTCACACTGATTCCCGGGATAGGAAGGTCGCTAAAAAATCATGGTCACACTGATTCCCGGGATAGGAAGGTCGCTAAAAAATCATGGTCACACTGATTCCCGGGATAAGAAGGTCGCTAAAAAATCATGGTCACACTGATTCCCGGGATAGGAAGGTCGCTAAAAAATCATGGTCACACAGAATCCCGGGATAGGAAGGTCGCTAAAAAATCATGGTCACACTGATTCCCGGGATAGGAAGGTCGCTAAAAAATCATGGTCACACAGAATCCCTGTTTGGAGAGGGTCAGCCATTCAGAGGAGCAAGTACGTAATTGTATAGCGTGGACACAAATAATCCCTGGTAAAGAGGGTCAGCTATTCAGAGTAGGAAGGTACGTAACTAATGAATCGTGATCATATGGAATTCCTGGCTAGAGAAGGTCTGCCATTCAGAGAAGGAAGGTTTGTAATTTCTAAATAAGGAACAAAACAGAATCCCTTATTAAAAGTGGTCAGCCATACATATAAGGAAGGTATAAACGTTCTACTGGTGAGCAAACAATAGTACTTTAACTAATACCTTTTTGTTTCTGATCACGTTAGATTTTGTTTCTTAATTTATTTCATAGGTATTAATTTCATCCCGCTATTAAATATTTCAATTACTGTGGATTTACTTCAAGATTATTCGCATGTTTGTTGTAAGACCGGAATTAGCATACAGTTGTTAGCCGGAGTTACTACTAGTAACAGCAATGCAGATTAAGCAAGAAAATTCCGAACGGCTTAACCGTGTCTTCTAACATATACATCTGTTTATGTATTGGACCACCATTTTTGTGTAAGACGGTTTATTTTTGTATTGGTCGTATTTTTCATTTCCATAACGCATGTATGCGTCTTTTAACATATCATAGAAATTAAGTAGCTAGTAAAGAAATAGAAGGAAATAAGATAAAGTTGTGAAGGGACCGTTTCTAATTTTAGCAAACGCTATATTTATTTCAATATGTAACCGCATCTTAATTACCATGTGTTACAAATTTATGTTATATCAAAAATAGTTCTTGATTTTTGTTTAGTATTTTGTTTCCTTCAGTTACTGATGTGCCTGATCTAACGGTTTGTTTTTCAGTTAGTCGTTACACGGACATCAGCATGTTCTTCATGTTGGGAGGTATCATTACGTCGTTTATAGCAGGCTCATTCTCCGAAATGCAGAAACGCAGATACAAAGGTAGACTCGAAACTTGTTACTGGAATATATGTACAAAGAAAAAGATGCAAAAGTACGTCACTATGCGAAAAACTATTTAAACTAATATGATTTCAACTAATTTAAACCAATAGCTCTAAAGGAAGTGATAACTGGCCTGTTTTCCGTTCAGCAATATTTATATTTAGATTGCATCAATTGCATAAGAAATATAAATTGCTTGAATATAGTTCTCTATTTGAAGGTTGATAATATGGTTTTAGAACAGCGCTTTAGGTGGATATATATTGATATGGTGTTGATTTTGATAAGTAAACCATTGTTAAATGATTAAATTCGGGAATGATAAGAAGAGAACATCAGGGTCTATGTTTCAGACGATTTGCTTACGCACTGCCACTACCTGCCACCCAGTTATGTAATATAGGACTCAAGCCGGGCTACATTCTCTTCCCCAGCCGTGTCTGGTCTCTGAAATATTTATTTAATAAACATAAATGTTTAACACAATCTTGTGTGCACAGGCATTCCCTCACCCTCACTTTCCTTTAATTACCTTTAAACCTGGTAGAGCTTCCCACTGTCGTATGCAGTTGTGAATGTAAACAGGCATGTTGGTCAAAAGCTTTATATCATCTTATATCATTGTCCAACCAACTAGATCATTGAGGAAATGGAGTGGCACTTTTCATGTGCAGATCTTTTGTATTAAACTATGCTTTATTGTAGTAATGTGTATCGAGATTAGTACCATAAATTTACATTTTTGTACTACAAGGGTTAAGCTAATGATATAGATATTGTATAAAACTGCTCGTCTTTTGTTCATAATTCTTTTGGCGGAAGCTTTTCAATCATTATACATTGGTAACCTGTGCGAGTTCCACAAATCCAACATTATTGTAACAAAAAGGCTTAGACAGATTTTTGTTGTATTTGTGCTGTATACCTTTCCTGATTTACTTTGATTAAAACATATCGTTATCTGTTATAGAACATTTTATGACACATCCATACGTATGATCATACAATTATACTCACTGTTTCCCTGTATCAGATAGTAAGAGTTCACGGAAACGAAAGACTGGGCCCGTATTACTGCCCCTGATAGTGGGAACGGCCCTTGGGGTGCTGCTCTCGGTGATGCAGATGATTTCTGTCGAGGGAGCTATCTACGCCTCCTTTATTTCTGTGACGTTCTTCAGATCATTCTTGTACGCCATTGGAAATGGCTACCTCAGTGAAATGTACGTACAAAACACACTCTGACCTAATTTATTACTTTCATATTTATTACAAAATTGACATTTCATAACAGAATTAGTCTTCATATCTTCAATTGTTTTTGGTATCGATACATTCAACCATGAAAAAAAGAACTTTTTACAGAATAAAAATGCTTTTAAAAAGCAAGTGTGCCTTGCTATAGGAGTCGATACTTTTTACCAGAAATAAGGCACAGTAATAAGTAATCATTCATTCCTGACCTTGAAGTTCCACTTGTTACGTTGAACGCAGACAGAAACAGAAGAGCCCTGTTTGGTAAAGCTCGACAACTATAAGTAAGACAGATCTATCAAGAACATTTAAGCACTAAAACAGGTTATGGAGCCATGAATTAACAACAGTCTTTCGAATTCTACAGGCTGACGAAGCTGATATGTTACCAACAGGACCTAAAAGGCAAAGAAGAAGCATATTACGTGGTTATCTATATGGGGTGTTTTCGATCCTCATCACAATTATATTTATAACGTTGAGATTTAAGTGACTGCCATGATGAAAGAATTATAAATGTGAAGACCGACATGCATTTCTCAATTTGTAAAGAGACAATAATGGCGGGTGTATCACGCGATGCAGAAAGCGCTTCTCCTTCCCGATTAACTTGTTTGAGTCCGGTATTTCATTATGTATTTTCGTATGAGTTGGTGTTGCCTCGGGTCCTGTTCTGTCTTTGTTTTCTATCATGTCGTTTTGTATGACCTTATTGTATTGACAGGCTGGTAAGAAAGGTAGTATCACACCATTCGGGGGTTCGACACACCTCATCCCTTACAGACATCCTGGTGGTTTACCATAGTTGACCTGTTTTCCTGTTTCTGTCACCAGGTTTCCTAGCAAGTATTTCAGCTCCCTGTCGGGTATCCTCATGGTTCTGACCGGAACAGCCAGTTTTTTCCAGTACCTGTTCTTCTACTGGACCGAGTCCTACTCCGGAGCATACCTACACGTACGTTTATCATATACGTTAATATCAGAAGCATAGGACACTTATTCCGGACTGTTCACGCGATCTACAGTATACCTATAAATCTTATATCAAATAGTATTTTTACAGCAAGACAAATTATTAATTGAAAAATCAACTTACATCAAAGATCCAAACCATATGTAGAATGTGTGGTAAGATATTTCCGAGTTATCTGCCCTCCTTCACGTTTTTTCTTACTATTAGGAAGGTTAAGATAAATTAAATTTTTCACGAGCTAGGGAAAAAGTATGCATCTGTTGGTTTTGCCTACTCTGTTCTTTTTATATTAAGCACTTTTCATTCGATATATGTGGCGTTTTCATAAGCACACTTTGTAATTATTCTAAAATGAACATGCATTTCCATATTTGTGTTCAAAATATGAATACATACATGTGACCTGTTAAAGACATTCAGTTTCAGTTTTCGAAATTAAGTAGAAAAATATTAAGCACTGAACACATGAATCTATTCTCCTCAAAAATGAAAACTTGCCCTGATAAGGTACAATGTTTAAAGAAATATTATTGTAGATGTCATTTAGGAGGGACATACAATAGTGGATACGACTATTTCTTATAAAAAAAATGGAGTGTGCTCCCTAGAATACGTTCCTTTGTACGTGAAATAATGATATAATGTAATAGGTTGTGCGAAGCTTGACGTTGTTCGGAGGTTTAGCCGTTCTTTAAGCGACTACTATTCACAGGATAACCTAAACACCAACGCGATGTCAAGTTCAGTAGCAGTATGTTATTTTACAGTTTACGTCTCTGTCACTTTTTCAGTAGTATAACAGTCTCCTCAGGTGATTTAAGGATACCTTACTTTTAAGAAGTCTACAAGATAGTCAATTTTGTAGTGTACAAACTGTTTTTTGCTTTCACCTCGCTTATTCGTTGAGTAATCGTCTCGATGATATTCCATAGTTATAACTAACATTAAATAAAATAAAAATGTATTTATTGTTTTCAGGTGGACATCGTACTAGTAGGTATTGTGCTGACGTCCTTGGCGCACCCAATTTATCAATGGCTGCAGTGTCGGAAGCTTGACTGACCAGCTATACAAACCGTGATAGACCTGCATGTATTCATGTGAACACGGTGTCTGAACTAACTGAATATACCAGGAGTTCCCGTCATTGCCACTATGAATTCAGATTTGATAACTGCATAAACTTTGGCTAATTAATCGTTTTGTTGTGTTGATGTAATGGAACAACTTTATGTATATTTTTCTGGTTGGAGATACCAGATGGTTTGTGTGTCAACGCGACTGCAGTTATGAATACTTGATCAACTGTTTTTGGATATACCAAGAGTTTTGTGTGTGTGTGTCAATGTGACTGCTGTGATGAAAAGTGATGAAAAGTGTTATCCTGTGTCAACGTGACCGCTATGATGAATAGTGTTATCAACTTTGTTTTGGAGAAACAAGGAATTTTGTTTGTCTGTTTTATTATGTCTTCATTGATAAAAACTTCATCTGATTCGAATGCAGTAATTGATTGACTATTGCCACTTTAGAAAACTGGAGATAGCAGGAGATTTGTTTTTTCGAGTGTGTTAATGTGTTTTCATTAATGGTGTTACTTTATAAACTGTTCTTGCAATCGATTATAAGACGTTTGTGTGTGGATGGGTGTCAATGTGTCTTCAAAGATGAAATAGCAATATAAACATTGTCTTATTTGAGACATCAGCAGTTTTCTGTTTATGTCAATATGACTGCAGTTATGGAAAACAATTATACACTTTGTCTGATATGAAGATACTGAGAGTTTTATGTGAGTAAGTGTGAACTCGGTGATAGTATTAATATGGATTAAACCCCTTTGATCGTTGTCAGAGTATACCAAAATATAATCTTTGTGTAACGGTTACTGTAGCGTTGAACTATCTCGGGCGTTATTACATTTTACATTGACGAACTGGAAACTCTCGGCTTTCATTACATTAACGGACAGAGCAAAGTGAGAGACAAACTGACCATCAACTGGGCACTCTCTGGCTTCAATACAATGACGAACTGTACGCTCTAAGGCTTCATTACATTGACGGAGAGAACAGAGGCAGAGGGAATAAAGCACTGACCAACTGGCCACTCTCAGGCGTTAATACATTGATAAATGATAGATATATTCTAAGAAATGTTAGAATGTTTAATCCACCACTATGTCGTACAGAATCCTATGCTAAAAGCTTCTTCCCAGTAATGTGCAACTGAGAAAGGACAATAACACAACAAATATAACATGCATGTAACTGTTGACAGGAACAGATTTAAGAAACTAATACACATATGCAAGTATGATCAATAAACACACACATAAATGTGATCGTTCAAACATGCATGTTTAGACAAATTGGAAAAACAAAATAAAACTTTACAGATCATTCAGGACAGTTGTCCCTCATTCGGTGGTGACTCAAACCTATTGTCTGTATGGACACCTGTGATAGTGGGAGCTTTACCACGCGAGCGTTGGTGAATGTTGTTGGAGCGATGACGTCGTTGAACTTGGTGGGCCAGAGTACGGACACCGGATCGCGAGGCACGTTGATGGTCTTGGGGAGGGGGGTCGGGGTAGGAATCCAATTCGCTCAGGCGGGTGACTTGGGCCTTAGACCCATTACTATGTCGAATAACAATCCTCCCGTCATTCGTCCAGGTACCCGATATGTGACCAGCTGACTTAAGATAACGTGCCTTAGTGAATATCTGGGCTCTTTGTATGGTCAGGGCTTCATTCACGTATAATTTAAATGGACTGGGCCGGGGGTGACGATGAAGAATTACTTGAGGTCGACTCGCTTCTAACAAAAAGCAAAAATCTGGCTTCATATACTGAGGCTCGAACACGGTAGGATAGGAATCTTACTATAATGTCCCGTGGATATCTGTCAGACTGTGGGTTCTGCTGATATCACTGTCAGTGACCATAACTCCAAGGATAGTGTTACACGCCTTTAATATTAAAGAATCGGTGTTCTCATTTTCTTCTTCGGGAATTCCTCGAAACTTGAGACAGTTTCTACGCGAATATTGTTCAATGTCATCTTGTCTGTTTTCGAGTTGAGACAGCTGATGCTTAATGTCAAGAATTCCTAGTTTGTAAATCAGCGTGTCCTTGAAAAGGTCGTTCCTTACTTCACTAATCACATTTGGGTCAGTTATAGAGTTAATAGTATTGACATTTTTCTTGATAACTGTATTCATGATGAATGTTTGAAAATTTTCCACTGGACGTATAGGATGAATAATAAAGTCAAAATTAAATAAAATACGAAATGGCCAAGCGAAACATGGCGGCTCGAGAGTGACCACTATTCATATAAAGGTCTACACATAGGCTAACCTGATGTAGATGTTACACAGATAATATGGTGAAAATTATTCAGGCATCATCCAAAACTAAATCATATCCATGAGCTTAAATCCAAGCAAACCATGATGAGTCGTTGATCAGTGGTACATTATATTGTCCGGGAGCTCGCCATTGTACGTCCGATCATTTTGGCCACTGGAAATAATAATATAATGTAATAGGTTGTGCGAAGCTTGACGTTGTTCGGAGGTTTAGCCGTTCTTTAAGCGACTACTATTCACAGGATAACCTAAACATCAACGCGATGAGATTTTTGACGTGTGTCCGATTAATCTTGATTCTAAAATACCTCTTAATGGAAGCACTATGATAAACAATGCTGAAAATAAATCCATACTTGATAGTGTTCTTAAATATATAACAAACACAAGAGACTTGTTTAATTATGTGATTCAACTGATTGTTATATAGTTTTTACTGATGGGTGCAATAAAGTAAAACAAAAATGTGCTAAGTTTGAATTGCCTGATTTTATTTTTTATATTTTGTTGTTGTTGTATCCCTTACTTTGTATCACTCCTACCAATGATATATATTGATACTAAATGGTTCTATAACCCTAACTACTTCGTGTAACAGCAGCAGGGTATCAACATAGGGGCACTAATGACTAAAAATAAAAATAAAATTGTAGCAATTTCTCTGTATAATATATAATTAGGGAATTGGTTTCCTATTACTAATTAATTATGAATGACTTTTTAATAAGAGTATTGTATAGCTAAAAATATCAATTAAATATTTATATGTAATTGAAACATACATGGAATTATCTCCCCTATACCATATGTTATATGTAGACTGGGGATTTATGCTACTTATGATATATAATTCGAATCAATATTTTCCTATTAACCGTTTCATCTTTGTCTTTGTCATGTCAACCTAAGGAGAGAACTTATATAGGCCAAGCCTGCTGTTCAATCCTATTGTTTACTCAATAAAATATGATGAAATGAAACAAAATGAAAAAATACATTGACGAACTGGACGCTCTAAGTATTCATCGCATTTACGGACAGGACAATTACATTGAAAATCTGGACTACTCAGGTGTCAATTAATTTCAAATCCCCTAGGGCATGACAGCTTAACGGTGAAAAAAACAATTATATGACGTCACGTTGGTAAAGGTATGTGGTAAAGGAAAGATGGGAGAAAAATAAACAATTCCTACGTTAATTATAATAAAACGACAACAGAGTACTGAAGTATTAACAAAGCCATAATTCGAACTCAAAATCAACAACAAAACAATAACAACAGACCAGATTAAGAACAAGTGTTCCGGATGGGTAAGCGTCGTCTGCTTCATCGCCGACACCAGCAATGTAAATCTTAGTCAAATCAGGGTTATGTCACGCCATCACATCGATAACTCGGGTAGTGACAACAAAATTTCACGGATAACTTACGAGTATAATAAATAAAAACATAGACAATCATACAAAGAAAAGGCAAATTTCCAAATGAGATCATGATAAAATCATGCCCATGGCCTTCATTTACCTACATCTTTGGAAACCTTGTGCTTTCCGTTTGTCCGTCAGAAGTCGACATCTATCACAAAAGTCGTTATTCGGAGCAAGGTCTTGTAGGTAGGGAAACATGGATGTTTATATTAAGAAAGGAAAAGATCACGATCGGAAAGTCGACATCATTGTATTTGACCATGATACACAGAATCTGGATTATGTGTGTCTCCATTGCTGAATGACGTTATATTGTCAATGAACATAATATTTTTAAGTTGCATTCAAATTCATAAGGAATTAGGCAACAGCCTTAATGCCTATATAGCCGCCCTCACCTGGCGTGGACAATGATATACATTATATTAATTGTGAGATATTTTAAAAGATTTCTACATCGAGGATAGAAGTCATCGACCATAGCTCCAGCACATGTTTCACTATTTATTTTCAGATAATGTCTTTTAACAAGGATGTAAATACCAGGCAATACAATGCAACCAACAAAAACTACTCTAGAACTGTCGTATCATTTATCTTTAATGCTAAACTGTCGTCAATATTCCTGAAACCAACATTTGATTAACAAAATGTATCTAGAGTTGACATAAAGTTTCTTTTTCCAGAGTTTAGTATATATAATGTGCTAGTATTGGGCAGTTAAACAATCATTATCTCCCTTGTTTTGTTACATTTCCATTCTAAATGTTAATTGCAAACGTTTTTATAGAAATTGTAACAGAAATGTTACATTATGTATATATAAGAACGCTGATGTCGGAAAGTCCTATAGAATGATAATGCCAAAGCTGTTTGTTGACATCAGATTGACCACAAAGGATGAACGAGTCGCAAACATATATTAAACATATATCAGTACAACCCTATCTTTAATAATTGATATATTTACCTAAAACAAATGGGTTCGCAGAAAACAGCCAATAATGAACACATAATTAATATATGTTTTTGTTGTCAAAACGTTGATGTCATCTTTAACATTTCCACTTTACTATTATTTGTAAACTCCATCATAGATATCGATATAGGGAAAAAGAACACATTTCTGGTACTCAAACGACCCCTTATCAATCCGCATTGAATCCAAGCGCAAGATGAATTATATCCTATCAGAAACATCACTGAGGTTTAACATGAGATTGTATCGAGTGATAAACTTTAAAAAATCTTGTCCCCAGAATTTAGAGTTCTCTGTCTACACAATAGATTATTTTTCCACAGAATCCTTCCGTGTTTTTTGTTGTTGAAATGTAGGTTAACGCAATACACGGCGCCATCATCAATATTACATGAATTACGTGACCAAGTTGACGACATGTCTCTATTGGGATATAGCTACGTTATAGATCCCCTCGTGAACTGGTGATGACACGTGTGAGTTTTCATTCCCTGGGAAGGTAACGATAGATTTTTCCTTTCATGAGCAAAAGAATTCACTTGTGATTTTTATACAAATACAACATATCTCTTAGAGAGAAAAATGATATTGTCTACTATTTTAACTGTTTTAGAGACAAATGTTTGTATAGAATTTGGGCTAATTTCATAGAAACATGTCGACATTGTTTCAAGACTTGTTTGAGAGGAATTTGCTTGCATAATATTTGGATTTTTTTCAGAACGAAACATGACTCTATCATTTTGAAACTGTTTTAGGCAACCAGATTTGCGTGGTATTTGGAACTTTTCAAGAAAGGCACATATTTACATGGTGTTTAGACTGTTCTAATAGAAATATGTGTGCAAGATATTAAAAATCCTTGAGGAAAAAGAAACGATGTCAACATGTTACTGGTCGTAGGGAAATATGTCTGAATATCATTTATCATTTTTCAGGAATAAACATGTTTTCTACATGTATACGTAGGTATTCAGTCTCTCCAGTAAAATATGTCTTTATCGCATTTAGATTGTTCGTTGTCAAACTAAAATCTAGATTGTATCAAGACTATGCCCTCGGAGGAACCGCTTCATTTGACTTTTTCTAGATGACCAATTTGGTACGTGGTCATCAGGCATCCTATCATCGTTGTCCTTTTCCTCAGGACTAGCGCCATGTTTGATTAACAGGCGGACAGCGTTAGGGCGACACCACTTGCAGGCATAATGTAAAGGGCGACAACCCTGTTTGTCAACACAGTTCACGTCTACTCCACATTCCAGTAGATAACTCAAACAGTCATTGTTCCCATGCTGACTGGCGTAGTGAAGGGGTTGTTTCCCCTTGCTGTCCACAGAATTGGTGGATGCCCCTTTCTCCACCAACATCTTTACAACATCTATGTTTCCCCTTCCACATGCATAATGTATAGGCTGTTTCCCCTGCGGCCCACGATGGTTAACGTCGATGCCATGGTTCACCAATGTCTGTACACATTTCAGGTTCCCGCTCTCACAAGCGTAAAATATAGGCTGGCGTTCATAGTCATCCATAATACTGGGGTCTGCTCCCTTGGAAAGCAGTAACGTTACACAGTCGAACCGTCGATCGCGAGCCCAGGTGCATGCATAATGAAGAGCAGTTTTACCAAAACTGTCCACAGCGTTCACATCACTTACTACGTTCAGGAGAAGCTGGACACATCGGAAAGAATCACGTCCGTCTTGCTCCGGTCCACCACATTTACAAGCGGAGTGTAATGGTAGACACATAGAAGCGTCCACTTGATTAGGATCAGAACCATTACTCAAAAGAATCTCAATGTTCTCGGCAAAGTTAGCCTTACAAGCCAAATGTAGGGGAGAAGCCCCCATGCTGTCAAGACTGTTAGTGTTAGCCCCATTGGACACCAGGTATCTAATGAGAGCTGGGCAGTGGGCAGTCGACGCGTAGTGAAGAACATTCTTATCCATTCTGTCAGGTACATTCAATCGGATTCCTTCCTGTTGCAGAAACTGGACACACTCTAGACTGCCAGCTATACCGGCGTAATGAATTGCCTGTCTGTCGGTCCTGTCCTTAGCCGACAGGGACGCGTTATTGTTGTGTAACTCCTTTAGTATCTCTAGACGTCCAAATTCACTTGCGTAATGTACCGCCTGTTTCCCATTGTGGTCTTCTAGATTGACATCCGCGCCGTAAAGCATCAGCAGCTTTACCATATCGAGACTTCCCTTCTTACATGCGACCTGGAGACACCGGTAAGACAAAGACCCACATGCAATGTTGACCCTGGCGCCGTGATCTAATAACGTTTTGACAACGTTCAGATGTATTCTATCGACAGCCTCAATCATACAGCTGTCAGGTATTGTTAGAATTGACGCGTGCTCGACATTATCAGCTTTCAATATCTTCTGCTTCTCTAGGAGAACTTGAACGAGAGAGACTAACCCCTCCTTGCAAGCCAAGAACAGAACGGTTTCTTTAAACTGGTTCAGTGACGAAGTCTTTGCCTCTGCATTAGTGAACAGCTCCATGGACGCTTTTGGAGCTAGCTTTCTAACTTGATCAACAAGAGCAGCCTGCATATCAACGTCATGGATACTTGGATTACCGAACATAGCCCGGATAATACCACGTGACGCATCTGCGATCCACCTGGCGGCCAATACGTGATACTTAGATTTCTTCAATACGATAACGTAATCAAGGCAATGGTTACTTGCGCCAGGAATACTTTCTGTTCTTATCCTTTTCTCTATGAAGTCGGACGATGCTACCCGAATGATTTCATTTGGATAACGTATACCAAATATAAGACAAACAGTATCAAAGATAGCGTCATGGATAAATCGGAAGTCCTCTTCTACCTCCTCTACATAGACACCGATCATTTCATCGAGACATGTCTCCACCTTTCCATCGTCACAGGCTTGAATACCGTACACTCTCATGATTGTCTGGATTTTTGTCCGGTCCTGGTCACAACACGGCGTGAACTGGTCAAACACTGCTCGCGGAAGTCTGCCGTCAAACATCATCACCAGTACCAAGCCACAGAAAGCGTGACCATCGGTGGTGGCCAACATTTGTAACTGATTGTACAAGACAGAAAGCGTCTGATCGAAGTAAACGTCTAATTCCTGCATTTGTTTGTCGTTGCCAAACATCTTACACAGAAGAGGGAAGCCGGGTACATAAGCACACTCTTTAGTGATGCTTAATTGTGCCGGGAAAAGGCCATGGTCCTGACAGTAACTGGCAACGAGTCTGTTTTTTTCGAACATGTTCAGGCAATATTCCTCTCCGGAGAGGTCGATAAGATTCTCCTTATAAGAAGGGCATTTATGCAAAAGTGACTGACATTTCATGTAAACATGTTTTCTCGTTGTAATCAGAAGTTTACACTTGTCCAGTTTGACGAGACTTTCAATCTTATCATGAAGTCGCGTCCATGTTTCCAAAAGTCTGCTATTCACTGTTGGTGTTCCGAAGGCGTCGTCCACAAAATATACTATTTGTTTATCGTCGTCGTAAATACGTTCTATGAGGGCCGGATCGGATAACACAATGATAGTAGCTCCTTCGTTCCGGAGACGGGTCAGCAAGTTAACAGCAATGGTAGACTTACCATCACCGGGGTTTCCCATCAAAGTAAGCGTTCCTTTTGTGGAAAGAAGTTCCAACGCCACTCTAGCAGCCCTGGTATTGACAAAAAGCTTTTTGTCTTTAACTTGGAACTCTAGAAATCTCTNAACACAATGATAGTAGCTCCTTCGTTCCGGAGACGGGTCAGCAAGTTAACAGCAATGGTAGACTTGCCATCACCGGGGTTTCCCATCAAAGTAAGCGTTCCTTTTGTGGAAAGAAGTTCCAACGCCACTCTAGCAGCCCTGGTATTGACAAAAAGCTTTTTGTCTTTAACTTTGAACTCTAGAAATCTCTGGGTCTGATCTGTAAATGCAAATTAATGAATTTAATCTACTTTTATGTTTAGTTAATTTCCCAGAGCATTCCTAAAGTGGACTGCTGGTATGTAAAATTCTGAATATTAACACCTATTCTGTCTTTAAAATGTAACTTTTATTGATTAAGATTATGGACAGGTCATATGGTCCCTATCATGATCTTGAATGGAACTATGCTATTTTGTTCTTTAGAGACACAGTGTCACTTCCCAGGTCCACGATGTGAGAACAGGGCATTACTTCGATTTGACCTAGATTTACATGGCGGATGTTATTGATGAAGTAGAAGATGTTTACCCTTCTGAAACATATGAACCTGTATTCACAAAACTGTTCAAGCCAAATTCCTGGTTCAAGTGATCACATTTATAGTAATTCACATTTTCCCGAATGATTTAGACGAATTGTGTAGAGACTTCAAGCCAAAAACCGTTTTCAATATTTCTACCTGAGCTTTTGCATGAATTAAGCGACTTACAAGAAAGTTGTTCTGAGCACACAACCGTGCTTGTATTCGCCTAGTATTTTTTCAAGGGTTTCCATACATTGATTTTCTTTGTTCATGATTCGCCATAGTTTTAGATTTTGAGTTCAAATTGCGGTTTTGTTGACATTCGGTATTCTATTGTTGTTTTCTTTTATGTTGGTCTATTACGACTATAAGTTTCAGTTCACTGACTAATTCAGTATCTATAATCTCAGAACAGCCTATATTAAAAAACGCAGAGGGGTATACACAACATCCTGTTGTGTATAAGCAACAGCACATAAAGATATATCTATATTAAAGACAAATGCATTTGTTCAAAAACTCTCACTTCTTCTCCATACCGTCTATACTTTGGATATCACTACAAAATATATATTTCAAATATTGCTTATGTCATCCATTTTTTACACAATACGGACAAGATAAGCATCAATACCATCAAATGACAGTTATCTGTCCAATTAGTACTCACCCAAGAACATCTGCATGTCGCCCTGTGCTTGACCAAAACGGATCTTTTTCACCTTGGCATTAAAGTCGGAGAGCTTTTTATTTTGATTGTTGAATAGGCTACCATCATCCGGCTCTGTACGAAAAACAAACTCTTCATTTAGATTAAGACCATACAAACCGTTGTTGTTTTTGTTGACAGATTGATTGCTACTTTTTTAGTTTCTATTTTAATGCTATCACATCCAGCTAAATATATTTCCTTTAACAACAAAACCTTAAACAGTTTTTTCAATGGTCTCAATGTCAATCAGTACTTTTGGTTTATAATTTGCCCTAGTTTAATTAGGGTCTTATTGACACTGGTATAATTTAGAATGTTTGAAAACTGCTATCGATGTAAAACGAAAATACTTTCATACCGTCAAAATCGCAGTTAATTTTCTGTACTAGGTCATAACGATCAACTTCTGTGAGGGACCGTATCAACAGCGGAAGCGGGGTGATATGATGTTTCAAGGCAGTCTCGTGCCATTTGACCAGCATGGAGGCGACACATTGCGGTGTGTTGTAGGGAAAAGCTGCCCGGAGATGGTCCAGCTGGGAGTCACTGAAGCCGAGCTGGTAGGCGAGTAGACACCATTCCTTACCGATATCTAGCGAAAGCTGACCCAGATCTGTACAAAAATGGTTATGTACAAGGCTGGATTCTTATTCCACAGAAATTCTCATTAGCGGATCACGTCAATCTACGAGGGTATGCTCTGAGGGCTTTGTTATGCATTATTGATCTATATTACTACGTTGTTTACACCCATACTACACCGCAGATTAATAAAACCAACGACCCATTAACAAACCATGACGCCTGTATTACTCATCACCACACCTGCAATCATTTAATATCCCTCAAACACCCTCATCACACCCGGTATCATTTAACATAACCCCCTTAACACCCGGTATCATTTAATATACCCCCAAACACCCTCATCGAACCCGGTATCATTTAATATAACCCCCTTAACACCTGGTATCATTTAATATACCACAAACATCCTCATCACACCCGGTATCATTTAACATAACCCCCTTAACACCCGGTATCATTTAATATAACCCCCTTAACACCTGGTATCATTTAATAACATCGTTTTGTTCATTGTGTTCCCTATATCATTTAATATAACCCCCTTAACACTTGGTATCATTTAATATACCACAATCATGCTCATCACACCCGGTATAATTTAATATACCCCCAACATCCTCATCACACCCGGTATCATTTGATATAACCCCCTTAACACCCGGTATCATTTAATAAACCTCCAACATCCTCATCACACCCGGTATCATTTAAGATACCCCCCCAACATCCTCATCACACCCGGTATCATTTAATATACCCCCACACCCTCATCATACCCGGTATCATTTAACATAACCCCTTTACACCCTCATCACACCCGGTATCATTTAATATACCCCCAACATCCTCATCACACCCATTATCATTTGATATACCCCCAACACCCTCATCATGTCCAGTATCATTTAACATAACCCCTTTACACCCTCATCACACCCGGTATCATTTAATATACCCCCAAAATCCTCATCACACCCGGTATCATTTAATATACCCCAACATCCTTATCACACCCGGTATCATTTAATATACCCCCAACATCCTCGTCACACCCGGTATCATTTAATATACCCCCTAACACCCTCATCACACCCGGTATCATTTAATATACCCCCTAACACCCTCATCACATGCATTTTACATTTCTTTTAGAAAAAATTCATCAGTGCTTAATATGTGCTAAAAATATCAGTATCACACGACCTATAAAGCTATATCCACCTATAATTTATAGCCGTGTTGAAGTACATTTTCTGTGATTTTATCTTTCATGATAATAAAGCAAATTTACTTTGTAATATTGACTACGAAAAGCATACACATAGATGTATATTTTTAGTTTTCATGAATGTAAATTTTCCGACAATTACTTTCAGTTGGTGTCTTTTGTAATTAAAACAATAATAAACGATTTCTTTAAACTTTCATTGGTTCCTTTTAAAAATAAAAATAACATGAAAATAGCTCAAAATACCTATTCAGGATAGGTGGATAGGCTATTATATGTCTATAAAGCTATATAATTCTGTTAGCAGAGTGTACAGATCTGTTTGTAACCTCATTTAATATTTTTTGTTCTTAGTTGTTTTTAAACGAATACACAAATGTTGAAGACAATTTAAGTGCTAAGGGAGCGCGCAGTGTACAGTAGCGTACGGTGGCCATCGGTAATATTTTATTCATATAAACTACAAACCTATTCAAGTTTTCATTTTTCAGATTTCCTTCCTTTGTTGGTAGTTTGAGAGCAGAATTAGTAAAAATTCACATGTCAAGATAATTGATATTACTCGGTCACTATTAAAGTGAGAAAGGAAACGGATACATCGTTTTGTTCATTGTGTTATTTACCAGACATTTAAAAGGTTTTAATTAAATGATGGGAAAATGAAAGTGATGTATAAGGTTACAGTGTCCAGTAAAGTACGGTGGCCATGGGTGATATTTTCGTACAATGAATAACCCCTGTAATATAACATGTATCAAAACTCAGCACTAAAATTGGTATATACAGGATGAAGTGGACTATGTGGGTTTCAGAGTTTAAAAAAATGGAATTTGGTTTGAGACTACATTTTTGGCAATTTACTAATCTGTGTCTACACAACAAAAGCTAGCTTTTCATGTAGTCTATTTTTGTACTCAGCAAATGTGTAAATATTGTGAAAAATCCAGTTGAACGACCTATGCTAAAACATGAGTATTTCTGTTATCGAGAAGGTGATATTTAATTTAAGACAGGTTTTAAGAAAAAACATACAACTTGCGTGGGTCAAATTTTGGGTTAAAAATCATGTTTTTTTTGCATTGTTTGGCGTTTTTGATGTGGTAACCATGGTTTTCACAAGTCCCAAATCTGATGAAATCACTTTTTGAAAAAAACCTCATTCTTCTAAAAATAACGTATTCAAAATGTAGTTTATAAATATATATATATCTGCTATCCATGTTTATCCGAGACATGCCCTTTATTTTTAGGATCAAGCCATTTCTACCGTACTCTGCTACCTAAGTTTGATTTCAAAATGAGATAATAAAGGAATAGTTTAGTACCATTTAGCACAGGTACTGGAATATCTCATTCTAATTAATTTCAATTTATTTCCTTTAAGATTATAAGGAAACACTATCACAGTACTACAGATACTTCAACAAAAAACGGTAAATATAAGCCATTACAGGCTTCTCATGGACCACAGACCTCGACTGCAATCTAATTCCGTGTGAAGCTTAATAAAGCAAAAGTAATATAATAAAGTGTGTTGTATTGTCATAAAACAATACCTGTCTATTGTTGGGGAATGTGTTGGAACTAAGAGAACAGCTTTTCATTACCATCAGTCCATTACGTCCTCCCTTACTCTACGTCATATCCTGGTATACTACACATCCCGATCTAGGTATGTTACATCATTTGACAGCGTGTATACGGTCTAATGGATTCTCACTTGTGTATAAAGCTATACGGTATACTTACATTTAACGTCCATTCTTGACCGGAAGTGGTCTACTGATGTCCAATGTTGTCATTTTTGTTGGAGTATCATCGTCAGGTTGTCTGTATTCGTGAATTAGCTCTGTCCTTGTGCTTGTTGGGATGGTAGAATCTGACCTGAAACATAAAACCGGCCTCTCTGCCTGCTACAATCTGTTTCCTTGTTTCCCCGAGGTTTGAGTGGCTAGTTTCCTTTCCAGTCCCCAGTGTAAGCATGTGCTGTTGTCTAGTAGGGCGAGGCGGAAAGGGAACTTGAAGCGTTTACTTCCGTAACCAACTTTCAGTAGGTTACGTGATCCCTCAGCTCTAGAAACGCAGTAGTGCCCACAGTAATATTATAGTTGTGTGAACTCGTTGAAGAGATGAACTTAGGATAATGTTTTCTATCAAAATAATTTCTTGGAAGATGCTAAATTCAGAAAATGATACATGTAGTTAAGGCCAAACATGATCAGGAGGAAATATATATATAAAAAAAGTTGATATAGCGCCCATCTAGCTAACATAAGACACTCTAAAGCGCTTTACAGTAATTAGATATGCTACTCCAGAGGCTCACCCATGTATCCTGATTATCAAACTTTCAAGAGGTCTACATGATAGTCAATTTTGTAGTGTACCAACTGTTTTTGCTTTCACCTCGATGGTTCTTTGAGTCATCGTCTCGATGATATTCCATAGTTATAACTAACAATAAATAAAACAAAATCGTATTTATTATTTTCAGATGGACATCGTACTAGTAGGTATTGTGCTTACGTCCTTGGTACACCCAATTTATCAATGGCTTCAGTGTCGGAAGCTTGACTGAACAGATATACAAACCGTGATAGACCTGCATGTATTCCTGTGATAACAGGAGTTCCCGTTATTGCCACTATAAATTCAGATTGGATAACTACGCGAGCTTTGACTTACTGGAGATGGTAAGCGTTTTGTTGTGTTGTTGTAATGGGAAAAAAATAAGTATATTTTTTCTGGTGGGAGATACCAGATTTTTTGTGTGTCAACCTGACTGCAGTTATAAGTAGTTTTATCAACTTTGTTTTTGGAGATACCAAGAGTATGTGTGTGTGTGTGTGTGTGTGTGTGTGTGTGTGTATGTGTGTGTGTGTCAACGCGACCGCTGTGATGAAAAGTGTTATCTGTGTCAACGTGACCGCTGTGATGAAAAGTGTTATCCTGTGTCAACGTGACCGCTATGATGAATAGTGTTATCAACTTTGTTTTGGAGATACAAGGAAATTTGTTTGTCTGTTTTATTATGTCTTCATTGATGAAAACTTCATCTGATTTGAATGCAGTAATTGATTGACTATAGACACTTTAGAAAACTAGAGATACCAGGAGATTTATATGTTCGAGTGTGTAAAATCTGTCCTACAAGCGATTACAAGACGTTTGTGTGTGTGTATGTGTCAATGTGATTTCAAAGATGAAATAGCAATATAAAAATTGTCTTATTTGAGATATCAGCAGTTTTCTGTTTATGTCAATGTGACTTCAGTTATCGAAAACAGTTATACATTTTGTCTGATATGAAGATACTGGGAGTTTTATTTGAGTAAATGTGAACTCGGTGATAGTATTAATATGGATTAAACCCCTTTGATAGTTGTCAGAGGGTACCAAAAATTATTTTTTTGTGTCACTGTTCCTGCAGTGTTGAACTATCTCAGGCGTTATTACATTGACGGACAGAGCAAAACGTGAGAGACAAACAAACTGACCACCAACTGGTGCGCTCTAAGGCTTCATTATATTGACGGACAGAACAAAGGCAGAGAGAAAAAAGCACTAACCAACTGGCCACTCCCAGGCGTTAATACGTTGACGAACTGGACGCTCTAAGGCTTCATTACATTGACGACGAACAAAGGCAGAGAGAAAAAAGCACTAACCAACTGGCCATTCAAAGGCGTTAATAGGTTGACAAACTGAAGTATTAACAAAGCCATAATTCGAACTCAAAATAAACAACAAAACAATAACAACAGACGAAAGAATTACAATGAGACCAGATAAGAACA